CATATATATATCGAAATGCAGTTGTCAGATGCAAAACATTTAATCGCGAGAATGTTATCAATAAATTATGAATATAGAGGAGTCCAACGTTTATGCGGTGCAGTCGATGAAAAGGTGATTCTATATTGAAAAATAATTTGCGATTTATTCGGAGGCAGGTTCAGAAAATCGGAGCTTCGAAAACCTGTGATCCATATGTGAATATTTTCTGATTGAATACAAGTATTGACATTTCTGATCGCGGCAAAAGTAAAGATAAGCTATACAATCGTTAATCCATACAGTAACTGTCGGTTTCAAGTTCAGCCAACTGAATGTATAGAGAATAAACTGCAAGATTTAAGTCAAAGAGAGACAGAGATAAAAGTGGTAGTTTTATGATGCGTTTGGAACAGGACGTGAACTTATTGGACCGTAGAACCGTTAAGAGAACGATTTTCCATTTTATTTTATCCCAATAGCTATCCCCTTTGTTATGAATTGAAAACCAGGAAAAGAATATCCTTCAACTATTGTATCATAACTGATTGGTCTAGTCTGGCGTATGTATATATTTCACTCGGATTTAAATTATCATCGTCGGCGGACGAGAGATTTCGAGATGGAGACTAAAAAAGACTGGAAACGAGAGCAGACTTTCGAGGCGTACGTTCAACAATTAAAGATTTTATCGGAAGCCGGAGGGTGACCTGAAAAATTGCGTCGAATCGCGGGGGATCGCTCGAAGGGAAAAAATAAAGCAAAGAGAGTAGAACGAGGTGGAAGTTGAAAATCGAGCAACGAGATAAGTCTACGAGAAGAGAGAGAGAGAGAGAGAGAGAGACTAATTCCCGCCTTTTAATCGGCGAACCGTCGTTGTTACTAGCGCGTAATCGTTGGTGTAGCTCGAATCGGCTGCCAAAGTCGTAGAAACATGCAATTGGAACGGAACCCATCCACCATACATCGACGGAGTATTATTCCAATAACAAGCGGCGCTGAGCAAACGTGTCGGCAGCCTCGATCAAGAGAAGCCGGGGGGACGAGGGACTGGGAAACAGTAGGCGGCACCCGCGCATAAATACATCGATAACCCGCAAAACTCACCGCACTGCAATTTGACCGGAACAGAGTGTGCGTTACATCTAAACATATATATATCGAAATGCAGTTGTCAGATGCAAAACATTTAATCGCGAGAATGTTATCAATAAATTATGAATATAGAGGAGTCCAACGTTTATGCGGTGCAGTCGATGAAAAGGTGATTCTATATTGAAAAATAATTTGCGATTTATTCGGAGGCAGGTTCAGAAAATCGGAGCTTCGAAAACCTGTGATCCATATGTGAATATTTTCTGATTGAATACAAGTATTGACATTTCTGATCGCGGCAAAAGTAAAGATAAGCTATACAATCGTTAATCCATACAGTAACTGTCGGTTTCAAGTTCAGCCAACTGAATGTATAGAGAATAAACTGCAAGATTTAAGTCAAAGAGAGACAGAGATAAAAGTGGTAGTTTTATGATGCGTTTGGAACAGGACGTGAACTTATTGGACCGTAGAACCGTTAAGAGAACGATTTTCCATTTTATTTTATCCCAATAGCTATCCCCTTTGTTATGAATTGAAAACCAGGAAAAGAATATCCTTCAACTATTGTATCATAACTGATTGGTCTAGTCTGGCGTATGTATATATTTCACTCGGATTTAAATTATCATCGTCGGCGGACGAGAGATTTCGAGATGGAGACTAAAAAAGACTGGAAACGAGAGCAGACTTTCGAGGCGTACGTTCAACAATTAAAGATTTTATCGGAAGCCGGAGGGTGACCTGAAAAATTGCGTCGAATCGCGGGGGATCGCTCGAAGGGAAAAAATAAAGCAAAGAGAGTAGAACGAGGTGGAAGTTGAAAATCGAGCAACGAGATAAGTCTACGAGAAGAGAGAGAGAGAGAGAGAGAGAGAGGACGAATATAAGCGTGGCGCGGAATCGAAGGGAACCCCTCCCGGTCGACGTTTTATTACGCCCGGCTGCATGCGATGCACTCGACTCGATTCTCACGCCTCCTCAATTCGAATCGCTCCTCGCGCTCGCACTCACGTAATTTCGCTCAGCGCGCACGCTGAAATTCGCAACGAGCCGTCGCCGACGCGCGCGCGTTCGAACGTGAATCGACACGCGGCGCCTCGCGGCACCGCAGCGTGGCCATAACTCCGTTCGGTAAACCGCGTTTCTTCGTAAAGCGTATTTCATAGGTATAGCTGATGTGAGCGCATGCATAATGGAGGGGAGCAATTGATCAAGATAAGACGAAATTGTATCGCAATAAAGAAAACCCGGGTTCGGTGAACGACGTGCATTCGCGGCCGGTCGCAGTTTACAATTTATCCTTCGATGTGTGCGCGTATACTTCCACTTGAAATTACCGAGCCTGCGCTAGATCGTTCCATAAAAATTGTAATCTCAAAGTGTGTATGGAATTGCAATCATTAAAGTAGAAAGAATTTTCATGAGAGAGGAAATGTTTGAACATTCGTTATCAAACTGCTTGAATAATCATTTTTGTAAACTTGGTTCATATCTGAACGAGTGAAACGAGGGAGAGTTTCGTAGATTAATTTGATTTACAAAGTGATGAATTCCGTGTAAATTTCCCGAGAGGGTGCACCGGGCCAGTGGAACCGTAACTTTGATAAGTAGAGTTCGGCAACCATAATTATTTTATCCGGTTTAATCGACGTGGAACCAAGAAAATGAATCGCAGAACGATAAATTTACTAATTTACAATTGCATCTTGAAAATTATCAAACAAAATCGCTTTCCCTTCTTGTATACAAGTTCTTGTCTCGGAAATATATATTAAATACGATAAAGAGTGTCGTCCACGTTATTCGATGACTTTGCAACAACTGTAGATACGAACAGACTATTTGTAATAGATAACACACAGAATCCGGGTGGCGAGTGTCACGTTGTGGCAGAGGACCGAACGACGGCTTAACTAGTTTACTAAAATTAACTAGTTTGCAGTAATTAGCTAGCTTGCTTTGTATTCTCTAATACATTAACTGGTAATTAACCGTTTTACGGTTCACGAATTATCCTCTGCCAATAAAATTCTTTGCTCCCGAAACGCGTTTCAACCCGGTGACGTTTGTGTAACCTCGTAACTACTCTCTCTGGTAACGAGGAAACATTTGTTTCATAGAACACATATGTACACACACTGGCCCATGTAGAATTTCTTATACGCCATTGTGCGATGGCGAAACTAATTACTCTGCTAATTTAATTCAAGCGAATTTTATTCTATGTGTGACACGTCATGCGTTCAAAGCGTATTGACAATAGGGAACAAACTTAATTTACGGCACACAAAGATTCCCCGTACAGAGGAATTTGTATTCACTATAATTCTTTATTTGCCCTGAAATAGAAAAAGGGAACGAACGAAATTTGTTGGTACGCCGATAAGGAATCGAGTTACGAAATAATGATCGCTGGTGCAGCATGCGTGTCGCGTTACCTCATGACCTCAGCTAGGTTCGTTCGATGAAATAACACGGCGGCCGGACGGAAATTGACCGTGTAACCATGAACAATAATCAGAAGTCGAGGCACGCGTGGCTGTCATTACCCAGGTTTTGCGTCGAAACGGGGTCGCATTTAATTCGCGTCTTTATCGCGAGATAATTCACGAATCGAGGACCCAAGCTAATTAGCTAATTAACGTATCACGCGGCACGCCCTTCCTCTTGCAATGCTCGATTTAACCCTGAAATAATCCGCCCTGGTCGGAATCTTAGGAGCTGAGTCGAATGAGCTCAAACCCTTCTCATTGAAATATTTTTCTTTGTATCAAAGATAGTAATTAATTGCTCTAGATCGGATGTCAATATTAATTAGCAACCCAGACTGCAGTTTAATTAATCTTCTTAACTATCCTGATACACAACTGCACTTCCTTTGAATCGATGAATACGTCCTCTAATTAGCATCTTGCATGCTGGAACTTGAAGAACAGTGGCGAACGAAATGAAGAGGGAAACGGCCGGAAATCGTGATGAAAAGCGAGGGAAAACTTGTTCACAATGAGTGAAACAGGTTCCCGGATATTGTTCGATTCGGTCGAACATCTGGCTCGGGACGAAGCTTCCTCGTTCGAGGTTTCCGGTCAGTACTGTTTCGATTCTCGCTGAATTCCGCGCCGGACACGAAACTACAATTGATTTCCACGCTGGCTCGTACGCGAGACCGCCGTGTGCACTTGACAGCGCTGGATTTTTCGTTTATTTTGTTTTTGGAAAATTTACCGCCGCGCGCGATCACGTCCACCGAGGACTGCTCGATTTCTAGCTTTGCACCTTTCACCCCGCCGCTGACTCTGCCATGTACAAGTTGATTCCAGACCTAGTTAAACGCCGTCCCTTCCGTTCGAAAAAGTTCTTCCGGGAAACGAGTTTTCTTCGCTCTCTTGGTTAATCGGAGAAGAATTAGACCAAATAAATTCCACGTTACCTCTTCGGCAAAGTTTCTCGCTTGTTTCTTGCCGAACTTGTGTTCCAGTAAGTAATAACTTGTCCTCCAGGTGTTCGTTTTTGCGTGATACCTTAGAGACGTTTCTTGTTACCGCCGGATAGGATAGGTGGACAAATTGAATTTGGAGAAACCGGGAATACAAGTTTGATAAGTTGTTTCTAGTAACTTATCCTTAGGCATTATTAAATGCGCGTTTCCTCCTCGTGTTTGCAAATCCCGCTTTGTCGGGGGGAAGAAGTCCCGGAGGAGTGGTGAAATCGCATCACGAAACTATTAAACCGCTCTTTAATGCGCTATCTAAATGCTGATTCTTTCAAAGATTACTCGTAATTCCTCCTTTTAAATCATAGTTAAAGGAAACTGTATATGTATACTATTCAGATCGTGCAGCATTTTAGTTTCCTTTCCTTGAGCGCGCACGTTTCCTACGCACGTAACAAGAATAGAATGTAATCAGTACCTCTCGTTTCAGAGTTCCTATTGATAAAATCCAACGGGAAGAAGAGTACACTAATTCTGGAACGCACCGGGCTATCGGACTATCGACGGTTTCGCGAAATTTCGGCCGGCGGAGCGGAGGTTCGCGGCAGGAAAGGTAAGGTACAATTATGCAATCATGGCAAACACAATGATTGATTGAAGCGGCATTGGTAAATACGCGTGGGCCGAGAGAAACGCGAGTTTCGAATGCACTCGACGGAGAAAAAAAGTAGTGGGATAAATTTCCGTGGAATTTTCGCATCTGGAGTCCTCAAGGGTTGGCGCGTACAAGTGCCAATAATTGCATTCATTGGTTACCCAGCCGAAAGTAGAGCAGCCGGGTTCGGCGTAATTAAAACCAGATTTAATTGAAACGTCAGGCACGCTGGCCTGATATTGATCATGACGACGATACCGTTTATCGGTTGCATGGAACGGAAACAAAGTGAACAGCCTTTCTCCGCAGAGATTAAACTGTTCTACGTACACTTCTATTTAAAATCCCCTTGTTGTAATATCCTCTCGTATTTTCACAATGCCACAAATTATAATTTATTCCGAACGTTTAATCCGTGAGTTTGAATCGTTTCGATCTACTTGAACGACGAGTAACGAACTCGAAGTCAAATTACTTCAGTTCAAGCGATTCCATGTTAATCTAGCTCCTTCAATCCTTTTAATTTTATTCCAACGTTTGAACCAGAATTTCCTTTGTTTTCAAGAGATTTAAGATCAATTTAGTAGAAGTTTGCTCCGACGCATGAAACAAAAATCCTAATTAACTAGTTTCATATGAAAACTATAGTACAATTGTATTAATGCAAAGTTTATTATAAATCTGGTTCCCAATTTTTTCTAGAGGTTAAGGACAATGATTAAGTCGATTAATTTACGTTCCGTGACGGTGGGAGACAATTCCATACGCGAACTGTAACCGGAAGTTTAACTATTCGTTGAAATGAAAATTAATGCCCGGTGAACATTGCACCCGGCTATAAAGCGCGCGAGTCGCGAGTTCCGGCCGATAAGCTCTCTCGTCCCCGGCGTGGCCGTTACTCCACTTAACCGAACTTCGCGCGTGCTAAATATTTTTGCTCCGACAATTGCTATTGCCATTTCGACTCAGACTTCGCGATACACCGCGCACCGACCACAGAGGGACGTTGTATATCAACTAGTCAAAAGGGTCAGCGAACCGAACCCTTTACAACTATGGTTTCCAGAAGTTGTCCCCCTATACAGTTTCTCTACACCGGCTTCTCTCACGGTTTTCAAAATATATGCACAATAGCTTTTTCATGACTTCTAACTATTCTGAATATCCATTTTATATGAACGAAGAAAGGATGGGAAAATAGATTTAGTATATCAGAAATTGACGTATACCATTTGCCTCGCGAATCATGTCAGATGATATTGAGAATTCACGCAGTTTCCCAGTTTCCCAGATTACTCGATTGGAGAATTGGCATCTTGGAAATATTTATTCTGAGAAATCGGTCGATATAACCAGCAAAGTTAATTAACAAGGGATAGCAAACTGACAAAAGACTATTTTCAGAGTTAAGTGGAAGGGAATGTTTGAGAACGAGTAACGTTGAATCCAGATCTCACTTACATATACGTAGCGAGTGGAGCATCAGTAAGCCACGTGTTCCACAACAATGACACAAGTAGCTTAAGAGGTTGAAAGCTCTGTTTCTATTATTGTCGGATAAACTAGCGGATGGCTTCTCGTTTCCACAAGAGCAGTTTCCGCGATTCAACTATTTGTTCGTTTCAAATGTCTATTAACTTCGCTTAGGGCGGAAACTGCGCGTTTATGTACGTGTTGTCCGAACAAATTTGTTCCCATTGTTTATTGTTGCGTCCGACGGCAATAATTAATTAATGTAGCCCTCTAATTAGCGGAGTGCATCGACACGGTTCACGAGGCTAGTACACCTAGTCGTACCGATCACGCGTTCATCATCGTTTGCGCAAAAACCTTTGATCTGTGCGACGACAACGTGACGCCACGGGTTGAATGAAATTTATATTTCTCCCATCGTTCCTTTCTCTGGTATTAATTTTAATTCGGACATTAATTCGTCGGGACAATTCGTGCCACGCGTGGTTTCACTCGCACGGCTTATCACTCTCCATATTTGTTAACGGTTTAACGATACGAGGCAGTTCGCCTAATTGCCTCAGGCTATCTACTCGTTCCAATTATTTTAAAACACTATTTAAACCCCATTTATCGTTTAGCGTGGCCCGTCGTAATTGTGCACCCGACTAAAATATCAAATCAAATTACGATTTGATTTATGAGAAATTTATGATTATGGTATATGTTGTTCGCATTAACAATGTACACAATTTCCCTGAATAAGCACCAGTTGAATAATACAATAAAACCATTGTTCCCAATTCCCATATATCAAATTTATGTAAAGCTAAATGTGTTTATGATTAAATTAAATTTGTAAAGGGCAAAGCGGATATAATTCGGATTATCGATTTGCAAAACAGCGTAATGAATTTGTATTACAATAATGGTTTCCTTCTGTGTTTCATTGAAATATACAAAATTCAAATGTTTTTTTTAGTACGTATGAGTGAAAAGAAGGGAAACTTTAGGTATACTAGCTGAGAAACGACGTTATCCATCGGTCGATCGAGATCTCTCGCTCATTTTAACAGCGTTTCTTACCGCCGAACTTACGGTCTCCGATGAAAGCTCGGTGAAGGATTTATCGGCGGTCCGTTTTTATTATTAAAGTCACACGAAGGAGGTCGATGCGAAATTTATGCGAGAGGAAAATGGGAGGGATGGTCGTTTGTTAAAACGCGAAAGAAGGAATCGGGTCACGAGCGGATTCTGCATCGGGGATCCTTTATAAATTAATTTTTCCCGGTGACGGTGAAAATGGTGCCAGGTTTCATTGTTTCATTCCACCTCCGGTATCAATCTTTTACGCTAACAATAGCCCCGCGCCTTATAAACTAGAGACTTTTCTTATCCGCGAAATTAGAACCGCGGGAGATCATAAATTCCGCGTCAAGGTGGCTCGAGCCACCGATTCCTCTTCCCGTTTATATCCCTCGCGGATACTTCACCCCCTTCTGTTTTAAAACACGCGGTATGATCTCCGATCGGTGATTCTACGATCCTCGACGATCGACTCGAGACTAATCTGTTCCTGCCTATACAGATTCTTTGAATCTGTCAATTTCAGTAGAATAATTTGACACTTTGGACAATCCTTATTTCGCGAATTTGCATTGGAATATTTGGAGGCATGCAGGAAACGATTTGTACTGCGACTCTCGTTCCGGTTTTCTTTGTCGCACTGATTCTCTGCAGGCAAAACCCATGAATAACGTACTGTCTGCGACTGTAACAAGGTATACCGGCACGAGTACTCGGGCCGAAAAAATCGCGCCGTCGACGTGATGCACACAATGGGTCGCCACTCCATGACGCGTGCACTATTAACGAGTTAGCTTGTGCCTCGGAGTTTTCCGCGAAAATTCTGTTTATCCAACGTCGGCCGACTTCAACCACCAACATTGTCCACGCCAACGACGCGACGTGACGTAGTTTGTATTCCTGGATGCGAAAAAATCAAGTCGCGAGTAGATACGTATGTACAGAGTGTGCTACTTTCGCGGCATCCCCTATGGTCTGATCGATATGTCCGAGGCCGTGACACTTGTCCGAGAATCGTTTCGCGCGATGTCGTAAAGCTTCTTAAAGAGATGTCGTCAAATTCTGTTAAACGCTACTTCTTAAACGTAAAATTTTCAAATACAAAACGATCTTCTGTCTTTATAACAGACATGAAAAATTGACTGTCCATTTAGACAACATTTTTCGCCTGAAAGTGGATATGTAGTATTCACCGAAACAATATTTTGGATAAATGCGTGGCGCGGACGTGGGTCACCGCGGATGTGAAAATGCGGTTACACGCATTGAGTGAGCGTACATCTCGCTTCTTGTCCCGCTGCAATAATTAAATAGCGCGAATGACGGGATAGAGCAAAGGGGTTGGGGTGGTCGTGCGATATAAATCGATCGGTCGATTCTCATTGGGGATTAACGGGATTACCGGAAACCCGGCGATTAAACTTAATTTCCCGGTGAAATAGGGCTCGTCACGCGGTAATTTTATGGCCGGGAAATATAGTTCCGCGGGTGCGAAATTTTCGCGGAACGTTCATGAACTAAAAGATTTTCCGCCGGCAGAAGTTGCTCCTTTAATGTTTAACGCTGGCACATAAACCAGCCGATAAACCGAATGGTGCACTTATGTAAAGTCTTCTTTACACAAACGTCGCGTGACATCAAGGCTGCAGCTAGTTGAACCTAGTAATCGCAGTTGCTGTATGTAACGCGTGCATATATCTGATTGAAGTGTCCAATTTTCGAGTAATTACACGTGCATAGTGTCAACCTAATGATATTTATATCTAGTTCCACGTGCTTTCTCTCACGTGGATCTTATTCAAAATTATCCATGCGTAGAAAACTGTATAGAAGCTTAGGCGAATTTCGTGACGATTAATTTGGAGCATCCAGGGAACGTTGGCAACGTCCAATACGAGGCAACAAAACGAACGGCGGGAACATTTACGAGCACGTGCACCAGCTGCGAACTGGTAAAAGACACGCGGATGTCCCCGTGCCCATTAAATACCGCGAACAGGTCATAAACTCGAAAGCGAGCTTTTCATCCTCCCCGAGCGTACGGCACGTGGGGGTGTCGTCAGGTGCCGTTCCCCTTCGTCGAGGCACCCTTTCAGCTTACAGATAAGCTACAGAAGCCGCTTGTCATCGGCATTGTCGAGATATTTTCCTCCAGCCTCATCCCCCACCGACGACGTACCGACCAACAATGCCCGGTACCCGTTCTTATCATTCCCCTCTCGCCTGAGTCGATCGTTCGTTCCCTTTTTCGGATCTCTTATCTATAGCTTCTTCGTTCGAGCAAAATTTATTCGATAACAAATTTTGTTCCTATTCTGAAGTCAATGAACATTGATCAGGCTTTTGAAAACCGACTCTTATCTTCTGTAGTAAGTCTCGACGTGTACTTCAGATATCCAAGCTTTTTCAGCCAGATATTC